GGGGAAACGGCGGGGCGGGGAGGCAGCAAGAAAGGAGAGGATGAAAGGAGCAAGACGCAGTTGTGGGCGTGAGGAGAAGCGGGGCGGCGCACAACCCACCTGAACGACCGAAATACCTTCCGTATTTACTGACCTTATCGTGGCAGCACGCCATGCCGGCACGTGCCGCACGCTAATGGGGCGTGGACAGTCGAAGCGAACACTCCAATCCTCACTTTTTGTCCGTCGTTCCTACTCCCCAAAACCTACTGAATCATTTCGACTGGCACTACACTTGAATTACCCGTATTGTCTCCTCTCTGTTCTGCTCAACGTTAAAAGGTGTTTTCGTTGAAATTCAGCAGGGACCACATTAAAGACGGTTCAATTACTCAAGGAGTGTCGTAACCGATGTGTTTACTCAGACTTCTTACTGCGTATGAATGCAATTTTATTGAATGCAGTATTACCATACATACATGAGCATATTTAAAAAATCGTGTTACAATTACGATGTAGTAATATTAGTAAAATTATTCTTTTCGTTCGAACTCAAACCAGCATCGTTTCTATCAAAGACCATACCCGGTATCGAGGTGATCCCTCCCCGACCACTTGGATTCCTGTGCCCGACGTAAGTCATCAATGGACCGCCAGAAGTGTATGAAAGCGACTGAATCAGTGTAAACAATCATTAAAAATATTAGTAAGATTGTTTTAAAAAGCATGCTAGGAATCAATCTAATACGACTTTATGAATTCCTGCAAGAATCACACGTTAATAGCCGCAAAATGTTTACCCAAACTTGAAAATAAGCACACATTTACAACGGTATGTTGCTCGCGCAGCGTCAAATGACTTGTCATTATCACTATATGGCAAATACCTAGTAGTTTAAAATTGATCCTGAAATTCACAACAAGTTCCCTAGCACACCTTCGTTTTTACAATAGCTGCCAGCGTATCGTTGAGCTTGTTGCTCTCAAGAACTTTCCGAACGTTCCACAACCAGAGGGAGTTGCCCACCTCATTAATCTCCCACGTAAAACGTATGAAGCCTGGTAAACTTGCAGACACAAAAAACCTATCACGTATAGAGAGATTATTCTAAGAAGGGACTGCCTTGCCAGCAACTGCTAGGCTACTAAACAGCCAACAAAACTGCAGAATATGTACATGAGCTCGATTCGTCAGTTTGATAGCAATTGTTTCGCTTGCAAGTGCCTTCTACGCAACCTCTTGCAATGATATTGTTCGACATGACTTTTATTTGTTTCCCGACCTGTAAACTGTTCCCTTCTTAAAGTAATTTCTCCACACAGAAATTTCTAAGGCAACGTCCAAAATCATTGTTCTCCAGTGAAATGAGGAAATCATGAATCATTTTGCCGTTCCGCGACACGTTTGATCTGCAAGATCTGAAAATGTGTTAATGATTTTATTAGAAGAGAAGTCTTAAAAACAAATGTAAAGAATCTTCAAAATTTAAAAAATTGAATAGTTATTGGCTGTGATGCTAGGCAAACCAACCGCCCACGGTTCTGAATAGGAAAGATATTCAACTCTCGCAGTTACAGTAGCATTTATTTAGAGCTGAGCTTTATCTTATTACAGTGACGTCACAATGGTGACGTTTAAGCTCCCGATTGGATGAATCAGTCAACAGCTGATTTATGTACTTGAAACGCAGTTCTAAATAAATCGAAGTATACGTCATATGACTCGCATGTATGTTAGTACAGTGCTTGTAAGTGTAGGTGGTGAGGATAGGACAAGGATACGGAAAGAAAGATCGCGCGCGGTCCGCAGCCCATTTTGTAGGACACAGGGTACAATTTTTGCATTAGCTTGGTGTTGACCGAAAAAAAGAAAAAAAACACGGAAAATTACCGATCGGATCAGTCCGATCGTTAGAATTCCCCGCCAGGCAGCGGCGGAATTCCATCTAGCTGAGAAGCTAAAGGCGATAATCCTGCTACCGTCGGGACTTGAACTTTAGGACCTCCCAGTCAGAGGTCAGTTGATGCCCTGAGCCTCTTACAAATCTTGGAATGCTTGGGAAACTGGGACGGGGCCCGGCCGAATATTACGTCTCCACTCCAACATACTTGTCTGCCTCTGGCTGCGATCTTCAAGGTGTCCCGCATGGCCCACTCGCCTGCCAGCGCCTTCCCCGCTGGGCCTGCGGCGACCGCAACACGGGTCGCGTTACAGCGCCCCTGGCGGCGGCTTCGGTTTTTGTTCGCTCATGAACCGCCCGGTGTTGTTTGGGCAGAGCGGGCTCGGCGGCTGCGGCCTGTGACCTTTCAGAAGCTCTTTATTTACTCACAAGCTCCCCAGACCGCCGCACGCGATGCTGCAACTTTCATGGCGCTCATTGACGAAACCTGGCAACGGTGAGATAGCGACACTGAACCCAGGTCTAATCCATTCGTTGTCTAGCAGATCGATAGGGCCACAACCAGTAATGAAAGTTGGCTTCCTCTTTTTCTATATTTTTCTGGGTATTTTAAACATCATTCTACTTGGAAGTTGATGTCCATAAACGAACGAATTTACGTATTTTAACAAGGACAGTTAAACTATAACTTCATTGCAAGACAAAGAAATGTAATGCTGAAACAAAATTAGTTTCTGTGATCCGATGATGCAGTTAAGCGTCCAATTCAGGATGTAGTTCAACTGAATCGTCGAATAAAAACTACGAGTGTAATTTACAATTTTGAGAACTCCATGAGTTAATAGTTAGACAAACGATTCACTGACCTTTATACCTCGGCAAATAAAATATGAGAGCGTGGGTATGGAAATAGCAAGCAAAAGAAATTACCTACAAAATAACTAGATCGGTTTAAAAAGTTTCGCTCCAAATCTTTCCGGTTTTAGTGCAATACGTCAATAACGTCCACCCGAGTCACTTATGCAACGATGTAGAATGGAGATTTACTTTACAGCAACGGAACAATACATCAAACACGATAAATCCATCGCTTTGAATAGTAGTTTACGTAACAAGTGCGCGAAACAGGTGATTCTCGCACGAGTCAAGTTAGTCCTCCGAGCGTGGCGAGGACGGCAAAGAGACGAGGGAATCACCGCGCGCCCTTGCTATTTATGAATACGCCGTGAGCGAAACGGGACGCGTCAAGTACAGGATTGTACATTACACATCAAATAACTAGAAATACCTTACTTGTACAACAGCAAATGGATTCCAGTCAGTGTTATAACACTATTGTTTGTAAATAATAAACAAAGACGTCAAGACGAAAGGCAATTACGAATCGTTACAGATGTTTCGCACACGTTTCGCGATGTTTTGGACACTGAAAAAACGTAGCTGGTTCGCACATGGAAAACAAGCACTAGACACCGCGTTTCGCGAACGGCGTGTTAAAAATTATTCTAAATGGAAGTATGTGCCTCTATTTATATACCGAGCAAACAACCGCCTCGTGCATTTGCCCGCTGGGCGATGAGTGCAGAGCTGGCATCGTTTGCCGAGGGCACGGCCGCGCTTATTGCCCTCGCAGCGAAATGCGCGGCACGGCGGGGAGCGCTCGCTCGCGGCGTCCACCCACGCCCCCGCCCCCGCCCACGCCCAGCGGCCCTGCGCGCACCCGCAGCGAAACGCATCCCTGCGCGCCAGGGGCAGCACACTCCGAGAGAACGTTCTGTTCCAGGCTGGCCGCAAACGGTTATTTTCCCTCTCTGCGAAAACCGCAGGCAATCGTTCAGGCGAAAACTTCAGGCAATAAATTTTAAAATATACCAGTCAATTACCATTCATGTTAAAATTTATGCGAGTGCTTACGGGAGTCGCAGAGATGTCAATCAGGTTAAATAAACAGGCAAAATCACAAAGATCAATCACATGTCGCTGGGGCGGAAATGTAGTCAAGCGAGAATCGACATCAAAGGTAACTGTGCACCGGGTGTAAGCGATGAGAGATTGTTGTCAGATTGAAGAACGAAGAACATGTCAGAATGAACATGTTATGTCAGAAACGTGTCCAGAGGTTGACATACACGATCGAGAGAAGTTGAGCGACTCTCACTTCAGTAACTTGGTGCAGACGAGTGTGTGCTCTCCCGGAAAATCGGACGTGATGTGCTCAGGAGAGCGGGAGACATTTTGGTTTGCGACTATCAGCTAGAGAACCTCACCTTCGAGCGCAGCGGGCATCGTGGTCCTGAAAACGACCGTGACCGCACAAAACCCTTAAGTCTTTACGACTACAAAGCGTCAATAAAAACAATTTTGTAATAATTGAGAGTAATCATCTCCCGAAATCAATATCCAAGAATCAAACCGAAAGGTTACTGTCACTGAATCTCAAAGAGACTGCGCTCCTCACTTACATCACGCTTTCAATTAAAGTCGCATTCTTCTATCATGAATCACAGAACCATCCGTATAAATATGATTGATGCCGAACGTTTTCCCGTTTCCGGAATAACAAAATACTCGGAAGGACCACAGTCTCAGCACCGGTTTCCCATCGCGTGTGAAATTAATTTCGAAGCTTCTCGACATGGCGCCAACCCTGCCAATTTGATTCGGCAGGAACGACTGTCAGAGTCGTCGCCCCCGACAAGAGATGCATGCTGCCCGCGGGGCGGGGTAATCCCAATAAGAGAGCAAAGTAGATGCATTTTAATATAATACGTATAAATGACTATCTTCGTACATATGTGCGACCAGGAAACTTCTCTAAGTGTAATTTGAAATATGCGCAGGTAAGACGACTGTCAGGAGTCGCTCGCCCCCGACCGAGATGCTAATCCGCTGCCCGGCTGGGCCGGGCGGGCGGCGGCGGGGCGGGTGCGGGCGCAGGTGCGCAATGGGGCGGGGCGTTAAGAATTTCACGTTCGGCAGCGGACAGTGGCCGAGGATTCGACGGGACTGAGCGAGAGCCATTGATGCCGTGAGTGTTGCTTTAGCGCGACCGGATCGTGGAATCCGAGGTTTTGCCGCCTAGGAAAGGCGTACAGAAGAAGCTTAGATTCCCAGAGGCAGCCGCGCCGGCAGCCAGACTGTGGCTGGCAGAGCCGAGTGCGAGTTCCCTCTTTAACGAATAGACCAACGCAGGAACGCAGGGCAGCGCGCAGGGAGCGGTATAAAGATGAACGCCGCTAAGCTGCCCCTCACGGTGCCGCTGCCCGCTAGCTCTCTGCTGGGCGGCAGACAAGCCCCGCTCCTGCCACACCTCAGCACCAACATTTATGCCCCTTCTATTCTTCTGCGCACTCTTATGCTCTGGACCTTCCCGGCGCTACCCATGCCTGTGCTCTCGATTTTCGCGTCCCTCTCTTTTTTCACCGTCACCGTCCCGTTACGCCGATTTCCCGCATCACCGCAACCCAGCACCCGACGTCGCCGTGTCACCACAGCACGCGCCGCGCCGTCCCGGGCAGCCGAACCGCTCCACTCCGCGCGCGCG